GTACACCTGAATAATCAGAGTTATTTATGTAATGTTGAGCTAAATAGCTCAGATTGCATCTAAAAAGAGATTGAAGACCAGGTTAAAAAAAAAAAAAAAAAAAAAAAAGAGGTAATTGCATGGAATCTTACAGTTGTTCTACCTAATATCAAACATGTTCGAGTTCTTAAAAACTGAGAATTATTTGATGCCATGCCAAATTTCATGTAAATAAAACTAATTGTCATCATGGTTTATTGAACTATGCTTGACAAATGGCTTTCAATATTCCTAGCTAGCCAGTGCTTATATTTTTTTCAACATTTTCAGTCTGTGAATTTGAGTTTCCTACTTTCTTAAGCAACATTTTCACACAATAGAAGTCTTTCTTGTTTATGACATTTTCAGTTCGTACAAMGTAGATGTTATACAAAAACTCCTGTGTCAGGTAGTGGTATCTTCTATTCCAGAGCTGATGGTAGTTCTTATAGACACAAACTAGCTGGAAAAATACACAATTAAATGCTACTACAGACGTGCTGAAGATTTAACTTCTTGCTTCCTGAATGCATTTTAAACCTTCTGCGGCTCAGCTAAAATTACTGCAGAAGCTACAGTTCTGGCTTCAAATACAAAGGACCCCCCAAAGTCCTCTATAAGTTAAAGCAACRGACCTTGCAAGGTGCTTGGATTGCRGTGACCAGAAAATTGTTCTCACCTCCATGTCATTACGCTCACAGTGAAGCAGCCCCCGAGCATGTTTGTGTTCGGGATCTAATATATTGCCTTTCAATCAGAGCTGAGAGCCACTGAACACATAGACAGAACATGACGAGCAGGTCAGGAAAGCAATAAAGATTTTACAGAGCTGTCCAAGGTGCTAAATTTACTCAATAATGGGTTTGGCACCATAGTGTTAACCTCTCATTTACTACCAGTTTGAGGGACTAAATTGAAGTAGCTGACTTCATTTACCTTGAAATGTATATTTTATGACATTATGTAAGTAGATTGAAAGGGCACTGCAGTTTTAACAATTTAAAGGCTAGAGCATGTTTAAGATGGAGCTTGAATATTTATTGTATATTGCACTTAAACTATATGATATATTAAAATGCATTGATTAAATTTGTAAAAGGTATTATAAAAGAAAAAGACAGCTAATATAAAAGATCTATGTCTTTTAAAATCCAATTGATACTGCATGTTATCACTGCAATGGTGATAGATAAACAGATAGGTAGATTGAGAAGCAGATAGACACATGAACACGTGAGTGAAACAGGCTTTCTACAAAAAGAAATCTCTGTATAAGCTCATGGTGTAGTATTCCAGATATTCTTTTGTTCACAGAAATTCTTCTCTGCTTTCATCTGAGAAGTCTAGATTTTCAAAGCTGTAAATGGGTATTATGCAAGGACCTTGCAACTGAATATGCAAGTGAAAATATTTCCTGAGAAAGACAGAGCTTGACTAAAGCTAATATCTAATTTATGGGGGCATTTGTCAAGAGAGATCCACTTTTCTATTAATGCTAAAAGTCTGACGGTTTTGGTTTAGAATAAAGGAGAGCCCAGCACTTAGTCTGAGCTAAAGTAAGGATTTTCTTGCATTTCCCTTTTCCAGAGAACATCATTTCTTTTSTAGAAAAATAATAATTTATCAAGTATTGGAAATAGGCAAAAATGATATTAGAGATTAAATGTGGTGCATTAGGACTCTCCTCTGCATGTAGTCACAGATCACAACTCCAGAATCTATTTTTAGTTAAAACTAAAGCTGATTTTCTACTGAGAATTGTTTTTAAATTTGTGAAACCAAAATGTAATTAAGTATTTTCAACAAGTGTTCTTCTTGAAAATACTAAAGGATACTTATATATACAAAAAGGAGAGGCTGAGTAGTTTAGCCCACTGTGACTTTGCATTTTCTGGAATTACTGTAGGAAGGATTATATAAATCTTACCAGAATGACTTTCCTTTTGAAGCACAAAGACCATAATTCAAACTAAATCCACTTCTGACTGAATGTATCTTGAACTAACATTATACCAAATTTGCATGTTTTGTTTGTGACATGCATAACTCTTCAGCAGGAATTCAATAAGATCACAAAACTTACATTAAACCAATTTATAATCCTATATTAAAACACCACAACCTCTCCTGTTATGCACTGCTGCACKGGTATTTGCCGTGGGTAAGATTTTGCTTTTATAGTTCACTGAAGCTGAATTTTGTCATGAGAACACATTTTTGTGCTAATTTTAAAATAGGTGGGTTCTCTCTCCAGCTGAAATTGGCTTACTTTTTATTCTGTGATTCTGTGAAAAGAATTTAKTCTGCATCCCGACAGGGCTCTGAGTCTAGTCAATCAAAGGGTACTAGAGTTACACTGGGATATGCAGGGTGCTTCAGTAACTAAATTAGACGATGTTCAAGGTACGCGCTAAATCTAAATGAATTTTGTCAAGAAGAGGCTGACCACAATATATAACACTCATCAGCCACATATTGTATTATTGAGCCCACCAAAGGATTTATGTACTCATGGGGAGGGTGGGGGGGAAGTTGTACTAGCAAACTGTGAGGCATTTATCTTATGTGTTGTCTAGATATCATATCACCTTCTAATGCTCTTTAGCATTGTAATACAAGAGAGAGCTCATTCATCTTCCGAGAGGGTACTTAGGGATGATGATGTCATTCATACTTCCTTGACTTTTATGTCTGACCTCCTGGCTCTGCCTTCTAACTTCCTAAGCTCATGGCTACTTATAAAAAAAAAAAAAAAAAAAAAAAAAAAAAAAAAAAAAAAACCCACTCTTCTGTAGAGCTAAAACACTGAACATTAAACTCCACTTTCCTTCCTCACTTCTGAAAGGTCACAATCTGAAACTTTAAGTCAAAACAGCAATTAATAATTTGTATTCAAT